AGGGAAAGAGGGAATAATATATTAAATACAGATGTATAATAGAATACATTTAATATAATTTACTTCTTTCAAACTTCTTTACGCCACACTCATTTCACTGGACACATTTCAGATAAACGCTCGGAACCAGCTCACAGCTGCAGTGCACTTTGTAGAACATTTCTGAATGGAAATGCATTCTTAAAATTTGCAACTCTGGACTCCAGCAGCTTCTGAGACAAAAAAATGCTGATTGTTTCTCCTTCAGTGATTTGGTGCTTTTTAAAACGGGATAATCAGTGTGACTGACCCAGTACTGCCACAGGAGGAACTAAATTAATATTTTCTTTTTTCATAGCACAATAACCCGATTGAATGAAATACTGATTATCCTCTTCAGCCTTTGCAGGCTGGATTTCTCAAGACCGGTTCCTATCAACACACAAGCAGAGTCACTGATTGTGCCAACTGTCTCCAGGCAGTGAAATTTTGAGCCTCTGACCCAACATCAGACAAACGTGCCAGTGAAAGTTGTGCAGAAAGGAGGTTCCTTTCGAGCAGACTGAAAGCTGTCCATGAGCTAGGAGAAAGACCTGGGGAACGGCTCGCAGAGGAATGACACAGCCCTTCCCTGGCTGCATCCTTACAACCCTGCAGCTGCACATGCAGCCCTGAGTCAGGCACAGCAAGTGCCCATCCCATGCCCAGAGTGCAGTCAAGGAAGAGAAAACAGTGCACATCAGGGCATCAACAACTGCTGCAAAAGGACCTCACTTTATTGAACCCACGTGTTTCCAAGCTAACAACTGATGAGCGCGTCCAATGGACTGTGACTTCTGAAACTTCAAGATATGCAGCCCAGCTCAGGCCTACTGCCAGACCTCTTTCCTCCTTCTGCCAGACCTGGGGAGATTCTGCCATGCAGCAGCTCTTTAGGCACTGACTGAAAAGAAACTGCTGCTCCGTGGGGTTGGAGCAGCAGCTGCCAGGTGACTCTGACAAGCTTTTGCAAAAAACTTTCAATGAAGTTATTTTTTTTTCCGGAGCACGGCAGGGCAGCAGACAGGAATGCAATACAACAAACTGTCCTGGAGCAAATGGACCCTTGTGCAGTCCCAGGGTTAACTCATCCTTGCGTAGGACCACACCTTCAGATTGGTCAAAGACCTCCAGAAGAACACCCTCCCATCCTCCTCCTTTGGTGGAAGGAGGCCTGTTGGGATTATGATGAGTACATGATAACAGCAGTGCCTGCATGAGCCCGCTCCCTCAGTGGGAGTGCATAAAAAGCACACACTTCCCCCCCTACAGGAGCTCCACAAAAGCTGTTGTCCCCACAAGGATGTGACTCTCCCAGAGCACTGACCAGCAGGCGTGCACTGACCCGTGTGTGCAGCAGTGCTGCTGCCAGATCCAGAGCCAACCTTCTCACCCTCTCCACTGCCTCGTGTTAAACGCTACCTTTCCTCATGACTGCAGTTTATTAGGAAGAGAAGTGACCGACTGGGAGTCAAGTATCTCAGAAGGAGTGAGGACACAAAGACAAATGACAGAATAAGTTCTTGTAAGTTTTTTGTCACAAAGCAAAAGCATCAGATCCCAGCTGTAGCAGAGTCAGCATCTGTGAATCCTGAAAGACGAGAGAGGGGAGGTGTCAAATTTGGAAATATTTTACTACATAATATAAAGAAAATTTACAAGTAATGAGCAATCTCATAATGCCTTTTTTCTCATACAACTCAATGCCTCCTATATTCTAAAGCTCTTGAACTCTGAGACTGTTTTTGTCCTTTTTGTAACATAATCATAATTCTAATCCACCCTAATAATTAAAGTCATTAAATTACTCTTTTACTAGGTGACCTGAAAGAACTAGTTTAGTTCTTGAACAAAATGAAGATTAAGTGATTATTTCTTTGATAGGTATTAACACAATTCATTGCAAAAGCACTTCTGTCAAGGTTAGTACCATAATTTATAGAACTATATTATTTAGGTTTGCAACTTTGAAAAAGTTCTTGAACACCTGAACAGAGGTCTTAGTTTCCATAAAGTACTAATTCCAAAAGTAATCAGGTGAATTGTCAAAGAGAACATAATGAAAATTTCTGTTCCTTAGACTAGCTTAGTTGTTTACTTAATCAGAGGAAAATTTCCACCTATCAGTCATCAGCCCACCAGGACATACTACATGATCTTCCCTCTACAAAAGCTGTTACTCAGCATGCCTCCCCTTTCTGACTTTATTGTTTCCATCTCTTTCCAACTTCTCTGGTTTCCCCTCTCTCAGAACAGGGGAGGATGCTACAGGACCTAGTAGCCATGTCGCTACAAAAAGAAGGAAAATGAGAGAAGAAGGGAGAAATGAAGACATAAATAAAAATAAGGTATGAGGAGCTCTGATCAGATGCGGCCACATACTGTAACCTTATTCTCCATTTCTGACAGTTTACATTTATTAAAGGAACTATTTGCTAAATAGACTTAACATATCAGCTGCTTTGTCCCATTCTGTCCCTTTTCTTAGCCAAGCCATGAGGACCTTTAGACAACCCCTTCTCTGGCAGTAGTATAGGCTGTGATCTTTACTGGGGACATGGACTCCTCTCATGCACCATGGGTGACACAATTACTGTGGTTTAAGAAGTTACCACCTCCAACCAGGACGTGATGATTGTCCAAAAGGTCATTAAATACAGCAGCTTAATTCTCATTGCTATTCCCATTAAGTTTAAAGTCATCACACAGACACTTGAAACTCATCTCTTTCACTTTGCCATGAGGCTTGCTAAGAGCATGGCTGGCAGCCAGCCAGCCGTTTTGGCCCAGCTGATGGGCAGAGGATCCCCAGTGTGATTGCTTCTGACAGTGTAACCATCCCCATACATGTTATTTGTGCACTGAGCAGTAAATAACTGCACGGAGCAGCAGCCATCAGCTAGTCCCCATCTGGTAAACAGCCATGCAAGTTCACAAATTTAGTCCTAAGAGTAGCCTGGCTGGACTGTTACATGCTCCCTCAGTGCTTCCGTGACCGGGGTCTCTTCCCTGACGTGCTTTTAGACAGAGAAGCGGACACAGGAAGGGAAGTTCACAAGAAGTATTTCCAACAGCTCTTTCAACACAAAGCAATACACCAGCAGAAATCACTCACTCTCACAGCAGGAACAGCCCAGTAATGCTTAGAGACCATCTAGTCAATTTACGATTGCACGGGACTAGAAACTGTATGTGGTACCTGCAACGTATATAAAACTGCAATTTACCCTGGAAAAAAGGAAGAGCACTAACATTTGCTTTTGCATGAACGTACTCCAACTGCAAGTACAGCAGCACAGAGCTGTGTATTGTCCCATCAGTCCCCAGACTCATCGGTGTCCAATGCTATATGAAGTACTGAGTCAAGAGTAGAACCAGAGAGGGGAATGCACTCTGGAAAGCCTCTGGGCACAGCCGATAAGGAGAGTGGCTATCCTTGACCTGGATCTGTTTGACAGCAAGGGAACATAAGCTTTTATGCTATTTTATCTTGACTAAACACAGCACTCTCGCCAAGCAGTTTTAGATGAGAATTCTGCAGTTCTGTGCTTAATGCTTTACAAAGAAACTGTTGTTCTGAAGAACAAGGGCTTTTTTTTTTTCTCCTTTTGCTAAGCAGCATATGCAGGAAATTGGAAAACTGAAACTCAGGTCCCCAGAAGGGAGTTAAGGAAAGGCAAAACACTACCTGGCAGTGGTTATCATATTATGGCATTACGATTCACAGACAAAAACTAGAAAGGGAAAAGTCAAACCAGAGCATAAAGAAGGTCTAGTAGGTAAATTGCCGTCTGGATATCACAGGTACAGAATTTTCTAAGGCAGTGTGTGTATGAAATACAACCCAACATTTTGGAAGTAAATCCTGACTCATTCTGTACCAAAGGGGCTCCCATTCAGAAAATGCTTTAAGCGTCAAAGTAACTATCTGAACATTCCCTCAACAACTCTTCAAGCTAGAAGAACACTTTGAATAGCTAGTATAAGCATGCTCAAGCCAAACAAGTAAAGAGAACAACGTGAACAAAGGACAAAATTGCTTTGGTTTGGGTGTGGCAGGGAATAGTTATGTGTAAAGAGGTAAAAATTATCCCAGCAAATGTAAAAGCAATGAAAGAGAAGTCATTACAAAACAATGGAAGAGAAGACAGAGTCACAAACGATCACAGCACCCTGTGAACTTACTGCTGTACTTTCTCTACAGACCAGTGCACTCACGTACGCACCACAGTGAAGGTTTTCTCTCTCTAAAAGCTTTACAAGTTGCCTTTGCAATTTGGAAATCTTAGTGTTATCACTGAGTTATCCAGTAAACAGTATGAGAAGATAATCTAATATAACACTCCAAGAGTGGGCACAAGATTAAAGTTTTCTGTCCCACACTTTCTCATAGAGGGTTTCCTAATAATGACTGTAAACGTCTCATTAGAGCTTTCTTAAACATCAGTTTCAGGCTCTGACACAAAAATAAATACTCATGTTATTTGCTACAAATGTAAGAACGGATTATGACAAACTGATATGTGAGAAAAAGTGACTAGCTAATATACGAGTTACACTGACAGTTATTTGCTGCAGGCTCAAAATATTTTCTTCCTCTTTATTACTTTTGATAGGCATGATCTCTTTAGTCCATTTCTAATTGCCAGTGCGGCACAGCTTGAACTCCAATACGTTGCTAATGGCAACAGCGTTAAGTTTCACGTGTTTGTTTCACCAAAACCTGTTTCACCTTGGAACTGTCCAGCTGCACTTGGATAACGGATCAGGCCTCAGAGATGAAAGGGAGCTCCCAAAGCCTTCAGCAGTGCTGCACCAGCTCCTAATTGGCAGTCAGTCTACTCTGATAGCTGCCGTGTTTTCAAGTAAAAGTAAGAAACGTGACATTGCCCTTCCTGGAAAAGTATTCCAACCCTACACAGGTAACCTACACGAACACACACACACACACACACTTGCTTTATGTTTCACAACCACCCTACCTCATTCCTTCTGTAGATCTGTTCTGGTAGTTGCGGTAGAGCTGGGGGACACCCAGCATGGCCTCGGTGAACACCGCAAGGAAGCCCAGCGTCTCCACAAAGAGTGACGAGTCCAACCAGAGGTAAGTGATGTAACCAGTCACGCCAGTGAAGGTGAGGACACACTGCATGTAGTCTGTAAACTTGCTCCAATGCCAAAAATAGTTCAAGTCAAAATCTGCAACAGAATAGGAAGGGAAGAAGAGTAATGTGTTTCCTCAACCAACTCAAAGTTAATCAGGTGGAATTAAGAACAGGGAAGCATGAGGGAGCCACAGTCAGTCTTTGGTGGTAGGAGATGGTAGAAAATGAGGGAAATAATAAAAAAATAAACCCAAACCAATCAAACAAACACCCCCACCAAAAAAAAAAAAAATCAAACACAAAAACAACATGAAAAATAAAGAGTCTTGATTTCAAAAACATTTTTGGGGGGTGTTCAATAAGGAAACAATAAAACCAAGTCTCGCAAACCAGCAAAATATTTATAAAAAATAACTTTTTTAAAAGGAAGCACTTTAAAAGTACCTTCGGATAAAACATATAAACATATAAAACATGAAGGATACTAGTCTAGTGGGGCTGGCATACGAAATGTTTTACAAAAAACTTCACAATACCAAGAACAGGCCCCGAGCACAGCAATCTAAGTACTCTCTCTCGTAGGTCATTATCTCTACCTTCAAACTGCCTCAGTCCTGAGTGCCATGATCTTGTAATCACAGTGGGGTTGATCAAGGGTTGGACTTGATGATCTCGGGGGTCTCTTCCAACACAGTTAATTCTAGGATTCTATGATTCTAATCCAAGCTCCTTAGAAAGTCACCTCGAAGTGACCTGAGACGTTCACAGCTCTGTTCTCTGGTGCTGTGCAGCTGCCTGTGGTGAAGGGCAAGCTGCTATGTGCAGCTGGCACAGTTTTACTGAGACAGGTACAAGACTGAGGCAAGACTCCCCTCTGGAACAGGGCTTCCCACAGACATCTCCACTTTCCACTCCAAAGGCAAAACATGCTTTGCTCTCACCTTTGCCCTTACCAGCAACTGCAGGGTGAACACCCATTTCTACATGTCTCTCAGAACAAACTACTGTACCACAAAACACGACTTCCTCTCTTGAGAGCAGGAGAGAAAGAATGAACCAACCATGGCACTTGCTTGGTGCATTAACAGCATACCTCTGGAAGATGTGCAGCTGTCTTACTGATGACTAATAAAACATAAAACCCCATAACCACTGACTGTGTAACAAAATAATAACATCATTTTTAATAATAAGAATGCAACAACAACTGTGGGTGCTGTTCCTGCCTCCTTTCTTAAAAGCACTGTAAGTTAAAAATACGTGCTTCAGACCAGCTGGACTCGGTTAACTACCAAGCCAATGAACCACCGTCCTAACAGGATTATTACAACCAGCCCAAATATGTGCAACACACATCACTACAGGATTTCTGTCACTGCCACCTCAGAAGTAGTGAGAAAGCTACAAAAAAAAGTCCTATTGCTAATTCAGGCAATGAAGACATTGACCTCCACTGACTAACAGCAAATTCAGTGCAAATGGGAATACAACAGGCACTTAGCTGCCTAAGGATACATATATATATGCCAAATAATAGTTTCATTTTCTGCATCTTTTCACACCTTCATATCATTATCAGTCTAGCCCTCAGACAGTCCTTACTAACTCCTTTTAATACTTGGCAATCCCATTCCCCAGGACACCTACTGTCTGTACCCAGCTGAATCATTTTATTTTGCCACACAAAAGGGAAGGCAAAACTGGCCAGGAGCCATATCCAACCTGTAAAATTGCCAGCCATCACCTAGACTGAATAAAAAAACCTGTGGCAAACCCACTGTAAATGTAAATGTTGACTTTCAGTATTTTATGGTAGTGGCTCCTCAGCCTCAAGAACTTAGGGATGCAAAACACACAGCACATGTACATCATGCATTGCTAGAGCTTTGTGAAGGTTTTCCTTTTTGGAGATGAAGGAAGAACAAAACAGAATGAAATGAAAAAAGGAACCACAACCACAAAGGCAGGAAAATCGTTACTCGATTTACCTCTATTGCATTTTCTGGAGAGAAGGAGAGTCAACGAGAACCTCTGACAAAGCAGAAGGAATAGGAAACACTCAAAATTCCCACTGATTTCACTATGCCTGAGCTACACCTGCACAACATATGAAGTAGCAAGAGGCATAACGGAGTAAATTTAAACTACTTTTGCCAGCCTCACCAGCAATACCGAGCAAATGGCCTGACACTACACAACTAATCTGACACTACGCAACCGTCACATTTGCAAGAGATGCTGTCCGGGACAGAGGCCTCTGGGCATGCAATGGGGCCAGAACAGTGAACAGCAGAAGAAAATGAAACCAGTAACTAGTGGCAGCCAGAGGTAAAAATGCACAGAATCACGGAATCACAGAATGGCTTGGGTTGGAAGGGTCCTTCAAGACCCTCTAGCTCCAACTCCCTGCTGTGGGCAGGAACACCTTCCACTAGACCAGGTTACTCAGAGGCCCATCCAGCCTGGCCTTGAACACTTCCAGGGATGGGGGCATCCACAACTTCTCTGGGCAACCCGTGCCAGTGCCTCACCACCCTAGCAGTAAAGATTTTTTTCCTAATATCCAATCTAAACCTGCTCTCTTCCAGTTTGAATCCACTTCCTCTTTGTCCTGTCACTACACGCCCTTGTAAAAAGTCCCTCTCCATCTCTCCTGTAGGCTCCCTTCGGGTACTGGAAGGCCACAATTAGGTCACCCCAAAGTCTTCTCCTTTCCAGGCTGAACAATCCTGATTCTCTCAGCCTTCCCTCATAGCAGATGTGCTCCATCCCTCTAACCATCATGTTGGCCCTCCTCCGGGCTTGCTCCAGCAGGCCAATGTCCTCACAGTGCTGGGGGCACACCCTTTCAGACAGTTCCAGCCCTAGAAGGCACCACGTTGGCCCTCAAGACGGCTATACAGTCAGAGTCAACAGCATTAGTTTGGATCTGGTTGCCATGGGCATGCAGGACCCTTGGCCCCTCACTCATTAAACCTTCCCACCAGCTGTCAGGTCCGCCCTGCATCCACTGTCTATCTCCTCCTGCATGCTCAAGGATCCTTTTTAAAATACCCATCCCTGGACACCAAATCCTTACTTCCCCACGTTCATTTTCATAATAAAAATCAAAGAACTAAAACTACATGGGAGAAGCAGAAGTTTAGGAAGCTCATGGTACAAAAGAATATAGCTACCGTGAGGCCAGCTACAAAATCCATGGATCCATGCAAACACTTGAATATAGATGGGAAAACTATTGTGTGAAACAGGACTTCAGCTGAAGCAGGAGAGCTAATTACTAGCACAGGAAAGACACTGAGATCCTCTTTTGCTCAAAACTGTCATGATGCTAGACAGTCTCTGTTGCACTGCACTAGTTTATTGAGTAAGTTCTAGTTTCTGCTATAAATTTTCCTTGGTACTGTTTTCGGGGAAGAAGGGAAGACAGAAAGAGGTAAGAACCATCATAACCAATAACCTTGTTAACAGCCTTGCAGAAAAACATCTCAGTTATTTTAAAAACAACCCAATACGTAATCACTAATTGCTCTACTTAACAGATGTATTTTCCAGATGCAGAAGTCTATTTTAGGACACTACACATCACCACACTCTGCATTACCAAAAAAAAATGGCCTTTCATATGGGTTTCTCTGGCCCTTACTTGAACTGTTAAAGTGTTTTGCCACATGACTGCTTCTTTTTTAACCCAGGCTAAAACTAATTTTCTTTGACAAATGGTTTCAAAAATTCAAAGGGAAAATAATCACATACCCATCACTTCAAAGTCTGGAAATAAACTGTGACTCATTTTTCCAACTTGCTCCCTTCTCAAGGGGGTCCAAACATATTAGTTCTGTAATGGGAGTGATATACTTTCAAAGAAAAAAAATGTTGATTGTGCTGAGTACTGTGACAGGTACATATAAAAAAAGGCTTTTAAATGCTAAAAAAAGAGAAGGAGTTAGTTTTCAAAACAGAGCAAAATCTACATGTGTGTGCAGACTAGTCCTGTCCCAAGAAGATAACCAGAGGACACCAATCGGGGCTCCAGACCATGCTATCTCAGAACTGAATGAAGTTATAAATACCATTGTAAACATTATTCATATCTGAAGAAAATTATTAATAATAAATATGATACTGGGATTTTTGCCCCCCCATCATCCCTTTTCTTTAAAAAGACAAAACACGAAGTCCCACTGCAGCTTTTTTTTTTTTCTTCTCTTTTCCTAGCAAACGTCTTAAAAACCGTCCAAGTTAAATCTGGATGCACATCTTTCTACTCCCCAAAACAGGACGGCGCTGCTTGCATAGCTCACTGCACTCACTAGCTCCCCATCCTGCCCACAGAGAAATCCACGGTGTGAGTTTGTGACCATACTCAGCCAGTGCAGTCCAAGCAGAAACTCCCAGTCACTACCATCCTTCATGGACAGGGATTGGCATCACTGCTGTGAAAGGTACTGTATCTTATTACCCATGCCTGAGCTCTTTAATCCACTCACTGAGCTGCATTCTAAGTATGTTAATCCATTGATAGATGAGAGATTTATGTTGGAAAATCCTACTGATGCTGGGGAAAGGAGCAGCTCAGTAGGTTCTTTGTGCACTGACTGGAGAAAACTCCACGTAGCTTGAGGGTGAAAAGGGATGAGATTAAAAGACCTCCTCTGGGAGGCACATTGCGTGTCAGATATGAAAAACACAATGCAGGCAGAGGCAGCATTGTAAATAACCATGGTTAGCACTAGTTGGGGCAAAATGCAAGTAGCGAATTCAAGATTCTGGTGTGGGACGGATGCCAAGCGACACAAAGAAGAGTTCACAGTATCAGCTTTCACTTGAAGATGACACAGAGGTCCAAACAGTTACATTATTTTTAGTCAAGACACATTTTATACCAAGCCAGCTACCATGCTAGTTCCTTTTGGGAAAGTGAAGCAAAGGCTTCGACATCCTAAAAATTATTTACTGTAGCTCTCAATTTCTCTTGCTAGTTGCATCTTATTTTGTGCCTTGACCTTTCTAATTCTGTACCTACATCCTTGTGCTACACTTACACTCATCCTTAAGATACTTGACCCAGCTCTCACTTTTTGGTCGGTTCCT